ACAGGCACAACACAGCACGCGAGCACCCCCGAAYCCAGATCTTTCACGTTCATCTTGCCACCCCACAATGTGACATGAAGGCTTCCATTGCTGGTGTCATTGCTCCAGAGCAACCCAACACGCTGCAGCCTCCCTCGCTAACACAAAAGGGCAAATGAAAACTCCCATCACTGGGCCAGGAGCCACTCTTCCCCGACAGAGCTTGCCAGGGTTTCCTAGTTCGCCATGGGTGGAGCTCCAAGAATGGTCCCAATGCAGTGACTGCTCTTGGGCAAAACGCCCGCTAGAATCAGCTGAAGCCAAAGACGTTGGAGGGAACTAAGTCATCTGGCAGATGAGGAGGCCAGAAAGGTGAGAGGCTGGACAAGGCACCTTTTCCCTACATGCTCTCGGCTGGTTAGAAGAAAACGTTCTTGACACATGCTTTCCACACAGACAGCCCGGGGACACTTCTTGCCCCAAAATGGGGCCACTTCTGTCATCCCAGTTTGCTGTTTGTTAAGAACTAAAGCTCAAGAATAAAGGAGGATGCAGCACGACAAGAAAAGGAAAATTTCACAGGAAATGCAGAAAGATTCCTCCCCTATTTTGATGGTAATGTGGACGCTGACATTAAAGCAGGAATGGGAGATGGTGCAGGAGAGACTTTAAACTCCCTGTACAAATAGAAATACAAAAGCTCCTTTGGCCACCGTGCTAACAGCAAAACCTTGTAAATATTTCATGATTCTCTACGGCAATTGTTTGACCCCTTTGATCCCCGTGCTACCAGAGGCAATTGACAGAAAACTGTTGGGGAATCACTTCACTGAAAAATTTAACAGTCAGGCAGGGTGTGAAAGCTAAACGGCTCTGAAAATCTTCAGCTCTCACATGGCAGGATCGCTTACAAATTAATATTGCATAGTAAATGCCCGGAAAAAGCTCTTCTTAAAGGTGCCAGCTAGGCCAGTGCTGAGGCACAGGAGGAATGAAGCRAGGAGAACCGGCAGGTCTCTGTGCCGCAGTCCCGGTACGGTGAGCCCGGTGCCAAACGGCTGCTGCACCGTAGGCACCGCAACCACATCGCCACTGCCCCAGGAATGCCACAAAACTTGCACTGCGGTCCTGCTGCCACCGCATGCTGTCCCAGTCCCTATGCTGCTGTTGCTATTGTTGTCACATTAATAAACTGTGTTAGTGCCAGGCTGCCACCTCGCCACCACCCAGCTGCCGAGAGGTCACGGCTCCTCTGCTGTTGCCGAGCTGTGATTTGKAGCCATGAGATAGTCATGACAGCATCTTCATGCTCTTCTGCCCTGTACAGGTAATAAGCATGCTCCCTTATGCTTCACAACACTCTTTTGCCACTTGGCCACTCCAACACTATCCCATCAAGCCAAAATCATATGAAATATCCTCCTCACGCTCCCTTTTCTTGCGACTTTCCCACTCTGCTGCATTATCATACACACATCCCTTGCCAACCACACCCGTGAGTCACAGCACTGCTCTTGAACTGCACTAAGTTCCTGCCACTGCAGGGCCACTTCAAAAGACTGCTTWCCCACTGTCCCACATAAAACCAGCCCGTACTCACACTGCACTCTGTCACCAGGTAAGTCTGCGATGTTGTCCTCATGCTAACTCACAGCTGTGCTTCCAAAACAGCGGCATGGTGGTAATACTTCACTTGCTGCCTTCTACAGTGGGATGGTGCTGTCAGATCAGTGCAGCCCTTTGCAAATATCACACCAGAAGTGATCACTGCTGTATAGAATGGCTCTTGTCTCGAATATTGTATTACTACATCAGTAGACTGCTCAACTCTTCTGTCAGGCTACAACACTCTACAGTTATCACACCCATGCACTGCCAAACTCCTGCCGCATGGCACCAGTATCGCATCTCTGCCCGGCCCCAGGATTGCATTACCACACCACTGCATTGTCAGTGCCGTGTTGTCCAGGCACTCGGAGCTGCATGCACTGCATCCTCACCCAGTGTAAACTCCACAGCAGAGTGCTCTTCTGCAGCTGCCATGCCGAGCCAGTGTGCAAACATGTCATTAGGCTAAGATGACATCCTGGCTTATACTTAATGCATCATTACACTACTCTACTTTTGTTAATTTGTGTACCACTCAATTACAAAATGGTAAAATATCCTAAAAGAGTATTATTGCTTAATGGTATTAGAACATGACTGCACCAATGTAGCATAAGCCTAATTAATAAAATATCACTGCATCCTGTATCCTGGCAGTATCTTAGCATTCTCCTGGAGTACACACCCACAGTGCACTATATTGCTGTGCTGGTTATATAAACACGGCGCTTCTTCCTTCACTCCGTCTTTTTTTCTGCACAGCTACAAATCTGTCTCACTCAGACACAACCCTCTAGTCCTGAACTGCTCCTTTTTGCTGTTACTGCAATAATGACATCCTCCGTGGAGTCAGCCCTGCAATCTTTCTGTGTATCTGACTGTACCACTGTAGTGTCTGCATCTGCGACCACATCACCGCACCACCATGGAACAGGGTGGTGATGTGGACATCTGTGGAGCTGGGACAAGATATACTGATGCTTCTGGACCACAGTGCTCTGCTGCTGYGGATATGCATCACAGTGCTCCTCTCCTATGTACTGCAAAATTACTGTTTTAACTGTTTCACACTGGGCTGTGTGGGCTGGAAAGAAGTTCTCATATTAAATAAATTATCTGCTCAGCTGTTGCTGTCTTCTAATTACAATGTGGAGCAGACTGGTGTYACAGTACCTGCAGCCTCAGACTGCAACCCTGGACACTTCTGCACCTATGACTCTGTCACAGCTCAGGCTGCAGCTTGGGCTCTTGCAGATGTAAGCCCTTGCCTGTCTCAAACCTTCATCCACATTTTTACACAATGCTGGACATTTATTTCTTCATTTGCAGAAACAAAATTTGTATAATTCTGTACCATGACAGAACTTCCATTCATTTTACCCCTGGGCCTTTATTCATCCCAGGATTTTGATATCACTAAAAAAAAAAAAAAAAAAAAAAAAAAGAAGAAAAAAAAAAAGTGCTTCACATATTTATTTCTGTAACCAGCTCTTTGTGTATCCTAAATTATAGTTCTCTATCTTGTCCCCTGTACAGGGGGATCTTCTACAGCCACTCCTGAAAATCAGTCCTAAAATCTTCACTAAATGGTCATTCTGTCATAGTTACTTCAAAGAAAGCAAATGAGAGATAAATACAGACATAAGAGGGAATAAATAACACTATGGTCTAAAATAAAGATGTTGGGGGGTATGTGTGTAAGCACTGGTGCAACGTACCCAGTGAAAAAGTGAAAACTAGAATTGTTTCTGTCTCATTTCTGTGAAGAGCATTGTTCAACACCACAGATAAATTCTGATAAATGCACAGCTTTCAGAAGTATCTTTTGACACTGGAATGCGGACAGCAGAGCAGGTAAAATAAAGATGCTGTTCAGGCAGGGATTGGGTTCAAAACCAGAGAGGTTTCTGTAAGTGGGAGAACTGGCATGGATTTGTTTGTATTTCTGGCACTTTGGGGACATACAGTTCCATAGACTTAAAATCTCTTCTCGGATACATCTTCACTTCCCTCAGGACTACAGTGTAAGTCAGAGCCAAGACCGCAGATTTCAAAGCCTGGTGCTCAAATATTGTTTTTTAAAACCTGGTTAAGCATCAGTCTGCTGACTAGGCTCTTCCTTATTATTTCAATAAAATTTTAATCTAGACTTTGGGTGCACAATTGGCACGGGGAAGGTTATAGTCGTTTTAAGTTAAACACAACCGTAAACAGCAGACTGTCAGTGGGGATGGAAAACTGTTGTGCTTTGAAGAGAACAGATGTGTTTTGATTTTTATCTGGAGAAGTCAAGATGAACAGAAGTAGACAACATTCCTAGATTAAACAATGGGTATATCACCTCCTTCTACCCCATTACAAAATTTTTTCTAATTCTCTCCATAATCTCAGTTTGAATGAGTTCCCTACAAAGTCTCCTAAGCATGCACTAAAAAGAAAAAAAAAA